ACCTCACCAGATTGCAGGTGAGGCAGCGACTGGCCATTTTTGGCAGCCATGGAGATGTAGATCCCATGAACGCGGGCGGTATCTGGTGATGAGAAGATGAGACCGGAGGCGGTGGACGAGCTTCCCCGGCCACATGAGGTTGCTCCGCAACCTTCAACACCCTGACCGGCCTGATCGGGGGCTTCAGGACTCTTATCATTTTCTTTCTTCCCTTGCATGTATTTTCTTCTTTGAGAAATCTTTCTCGCTTTCCTCTATCACTGAGCATTTTATATCGCCTGGTGAAAGAGGGGGGGTAATGTCGTTGAACATCTACATTGCTCACACTGGAGAGCATTTCTTGCCTGATCCAGTGGCATGTGCCTCGTATGTCTCCACTTTATCTTTCTGACTTTGTCTACCATCTGTTAATCTATGTTTGAATGGACTGTCTGAACCCCAGCTGACGCCCGTCTATCGTCTTTAGTCCCGATGCTTTGAAGTCATGGATTGTGCGCAATACCTCTATTCCGCCTCCACGGCAAATTTTGATGACCGCCCGGGGAAAGAATGTCAAGATCCAAACGCTCGCTACCGAGGTGCGACAATCTGGATATCAATCTTGACATGGAGATAGGCTAACTCGTAGGCGATCATCGCAGAACGAGATCTTTGTATATGACCGACAATACATCAGTGAGCCTGGCGATGTCGATTTTCCAGAACTACCTCCTCCTGAACCATTCCGACCCGGTACCCCGCCAGCGATTCTCAAAGACGTGAACGACCTTCAGGCATGGCGGAACCTCTACATGACACGGTGCAACTGGGCCATGGACATATCCAGTCGCTGTGGGTCAATTGATAAGAACTTCCGAGAACACAACGAGCGAAGTGATGTTATAAATCGCGCGGTGGGCGTGGCTCTGGAGAATCTTAAGTCCCATGTGGGGAACCTAGAGCACAGGTTCCAAGAGGCGCAGTCGTGGGCGAATAGCCTTTTAGAAGAACAGCAGGCTGCTTTAGATGGCTGGCAACGAGCTCTTTCCACACTGAACAACATCCCGGCACGTAAAGATTTCCCTCTTCTTGGACGCCCGTCTACGCCCAAAATGGACAAGGATCGACCAACTGGAACGCTGCGTGACTTTGTCGATGTAGGCGAGGTTCAACGGGCTGGATCAGAGGCAGCAGCTGTTTCGGCTGCTTTTGCAGATAGCGTCCACGATATCGAGAAGACAATCGGCGACATTGCCTCGGACACTCAACAACTGGTGGACGAGGCCCTTGCTTCAAATGTTAACGGGGTAGATGGGCTGCTGGAAGAAGTGGAGACCCTTGCAAAGAAGATCGCGTCTGATTATAAGCATGTTCTCAGTCTGCCGAACAACCAAAAAACATTGGCCAATATATCAAGACTAGCATTGAGTCATACCCAGGACCTTCTTCCTTCGCTAGCGGAGATCAGCGTCGAGCTTCAAGCTGCGCTGGAGCATGCTGTGCAGCGCCGGGGGGCCGTGGAGAAAGCGGCCATTGTGCATATGCGCACAATTTCCTCTCTCGAGTCTAGACTTGCCGATGCCCGCGTACGAATGGTCAATCTGGACGTAGGGAGTAACGCCTTTGAGGTCATCTACTCTGTCTTTCAAATGCCAATGGTGTATGGGTCGATTCTTATCGAATCCGTGCGGCGACGAGAATGGAGTGAAAAGATCAAAACTGACTCCCTCACGCTGGCCGAGGAGATGGCAGTTTTGAGAGACGAGGAGCAACGCCGCCGGAAAAAATGGCTAAAGAATATGGGAGACTTTATGACTGTTACTGATTCCACCACACCAGGAATCGAAGTCAACCTTCAAGGTCAGGATGAGGAATGGCCCGACGTAGCTCGGAAAGAGATCGAGTATTACATCGATGATCTAAAAACCACTCATTCCTTGACAAACCTAGCGGAGCAGCTCACTCAGCAACTCAAGGATCTAGATGCACCTACTCGACAGCAAAGAAAACGGGCCAAAGCATTCAAACAGGGCAGCGTATTTGACTTGAGCCGGAGCTCTATTTTACGCGCCGATGACTCCGTCCGTAGCTTACAAGAAGAAAAGACAAAGCTAGAAGAAAGGCTCAAAGGATCTGACAGTCGTGTCCGGAAATTGGAAGACCTTTTGCATCGCCAGAGTCAGCTCAGCCGGCCACCGAGCGGCAACTTCGGCCCAGACTTCCCCGGTTCACCTGCATCCCCACATCCTGATGCACTCTCTAGAAGGTCATCTGTCTCTTCCAGGCGAATCTCAGCGACCCAGTCTCCCGAAGAAAAAGCGCTCATCCAGCGTATTGTTACGCTTGAAGCAGAGCTGGTCGCTGAGAGAGATGCGGTCCAGCGACTCCGCAAGGAAGCCCACGCCGAGCGGCAAACCAACTCTGACAAGTACCAAGAAGCCCAATCCACCAAAAAGGATCTCATAGGCAACCTTGAAGCGCGCCAACGCGAATTTGAAGATGAGCGCCGATATCTCGACTCGGAGCTAAAGAAGTTCAGACTCCGTACCGAAGAAATGGAAGAAGAGCTTGATCGACTCATGGATAGCAGGGAGCATGGAAGACAGGAGATTGACGATCGGATGCACCAACTCGAAATCGACCTTGAAAATGCTCACTCCAAATCCGACGAGGACGCACAGATAATCAGTGATCTAAAGGCACAGATTCAAACTGGGCAAGGGCATGAAAAAACCACCCAGGCCAAGGTAGATGATCTCGAGCACCGACAAATGGAGTTTGAACAAAAGCATCAAGAAAGTTGTCAGGCCCTCCAAGCTATCTTTCTGAACCTCTCGCCCGGGGGCATTGTGCCTCTCGAACTTCCCGACATAATCAAAGCCATCGAGGTTCTCTCTGAGGGTCTGTCGATTCATGCCAAGAGCGCTGAATCAAGTGCATCTCAGGCAATGACCGAGAACAAGGCCCTTAAAGAACAAATAAGGAAATTTGAGTCGGAGGCAGAAGAGCGGACAAAGAGCTTGGACGAATGCAAGGCTGAATTGTCGCGACTAAATGCAGAGCTCTCAAGTGCGCGATCAAGGTCGGAGGAACTGACCGGTGAACTGGACAAAGAGCGATCTAAGTTCAGTTCTTTGCATTCTCGAATAGCTGCCGGAGAGAATGGTTCCGAATCGCTGCGTGAACAAGTCGCCAAAGAGGAACGGAAGCCGGCAGAGCTATCAGGTAAACTGGCTGACGCCGAGAGTGAAGTTCGAAATTTGAAAGATCAGGCCACAGAACGGGAGAGAAAAGCAGTGGCCCTCTCGGAGACCGAGGAACAGGCTGTGGCGCGATTCGAAGCACGGGGTACCAAGTCCTTTGAGCTTTCAAACCAACTCTTCGCACAGGTTGAAAAACTGGGTCGGATGCTCGAGCAATTGGGTTTCACTATCATTCAGCAAGACGGTCAGCTTCTTGTTCAGCGTGCTTCGAAACTCAGTGCATCGTTGGGCCTGGGTGAAAGCCTCGCCCAGTCCGGTATTGTATCCCTGAAGCCAGATACAGCGCTTCTGGACTGGATGAAAGCCGAAAGCCTGGAGGATGAAGATACCAAATTCTCAGCTTTCATGGAAAGTCTAGCCCAGTTCGACGTGGCCCTATTTGGTGATGTTGTTGTCAAACGCGTCAAGGACATTGAACTCCTAGCCCGCAAATGGCAAAAGGAAGCCCGAGGCTATCGTGAAAAATACCACCGAGTTCAGAGCGAAGCTCATGATAAGATTGCCTACAGATCCTTCAAGGAAGGTGACCTTGCTCTCTTCCTTCCCACCCGAAATCAGGCCATTCGTTCCTGGGCAGCCTTCAATGTGGGTGCGCCGCACTATTTCCTCCGCGAGCAAGATTCACATAAACTTCAAGCTCGAGACTGGCTTCTAGCCCGCATCACCAAGATCGAGGAACGAGTTGTAGATCTGTCCAAGTCAATGAACGGTGTAGCATCAGACCATCGCTCCCTCGGGGACACCAGCGACGGCACCTCTCTAGCCGACGAGAACCCATTCGAGCTTTCTGACGGCCTCCGTTGGTATCTCCTCGACGCAGTAGAAGAGAAGCCCGGTGCGCCTGCTACTCCGGGCATAGCAAAGAGCACAGTCGCATCGGCGCACGTCGATGCAAAGGGTAGCATCCGACTTAAACGTGGTACGGACGAGGGCGCCATAGCCAAAACCCTATCCAGGAGCCTTGATAGCCGGCGCGAGAGCTCGAATTCCAAGCGGGGCACCCCGACGCCATCGCAGCACGCGCTCGACTCGACGACTGATCTTGTGCGCCTTGCCGAAGCTGACGCCGGCTCGCAGTCTCGAGAGGCCGCCCCTATCTTCGACGAGGTTCGCCGCGACCTGCTCTCCGGCCCGTGAAAAGTAGGGGATTGACTAATTTGTCTTCCGTCTTTTCCGGGTCTGTTCTAATATAATCTGGCACCACCTGCTAATGGGTTACTTTTGCTCAGAATTATCTGTCTGCACCGGCTCAACTAAACATGAGTGGCACTGCCTCTTCTCTCGCTCAGTCAACGTCCGATCGTCGACACAATGACCGATCTCGCCCATTGGAGAAATTGTGGTCTCTCGATTATGGGCTCGATGGTGGCGCACCATAGAATACTTTCTTTTTCATCTTATTTTTTAACAAGCTCCGACGGACTAGGGCAGTGCATTGATCTTTTGTTTTGGGGGGTGGGGGAGGTGGCTTGGTTTGTCCCCTCAGTGCGTGCACCACATATTGCATGCTATTCGGGGATTTCGAGATGTCCAATTTGTTTTTGTCATTGACTTAGTCCAGATACCCTGCAATGCAATTTACACTTGAACATATCGACATACTTGAAGTGGTGTAGGGCATCATATGCTGGTCGAGCTCTGTGAAGCATACGTCACAACACAGCATTGGAATCGGGTACAGAAGGCAATTTACATAGTGAGTAGGCCAAGGTTGAGTTAGATGAAGGAAGCATGTGATGATTATGAGATGATGGACCACTAGTTTAATCCTTCTATGCCTTCCATGCCGCCCATGTCGTCCCAGAATTGACTGAAATCCACTTTCTCATCTTCGAACATCTGCTTCGCTTGCAGCATCGCAGACCGTTGTCGTTCCGCAGTGAAGCCACCGGGCTGCGAGCTTTCCCATTGGATTAGCTCGACCCAACGGAGAAAGAGATCCTCCTTGCCCATCTCGGCCAACTTGTCCTTGAAGGCGAGAATCTGGTCGCGCTGAACGGATCGTTTTTCGTCAATGGGGGTATTCTCATCGCCGACACGCCAGATCAACCAACCATCAGCATCGGTGTTGACCAGCACTGCAGTGCGGAATTCATCCATCTGTACACCATCGCCTCTGCGAGTATGATCAATAAGAGCATGAGCGCGAACCATAGCCGCGTAATCTAAATTCCAATCCTCATCCACGAGCAAGTAACCCGTTTTTCCTATTTTCTCAGGAGTCACAGCGGCAACGATCTTTTCGCGATGCACCTCGTCCTCTCGGATCCACCTGTTGCGCTCGAGCTCCTTGCTCCAGCTGTGGTTACTGCGGCGAACAATGACCTCACCCTCACGGAAGCCGATGGCACGACGCCAGAGCACGGGCCCTCTGATGAAATTAACAGGCCACGACCACAAAAGAGTCACGAGGAAGTAGTCAATGCATATAGTTCCTGTCCGGCGCAAGATGATCTTTACTGCGTCTGTCCACGGGGTAGCTGCCATGTCTACAGCCATGGAACTTTGGAGCCCGATTAGAGTAGCGATAAGAGCTGGATATGTGCTGATTCCCAAGTACACCCGTAGGCCAATCACAGCTGCTACTACCAGATTGACGATGAGGGGTACGGTGAAGGTTTGCCGCTTCAGTTCCTCTGCTGTGATGTCGATGTGGACTAAATATACTTCGTCGGGGGAGAGTGGTTCGACAAAGGATTGTAAGGCTTTGGGGACTTTGGTAAATGGTGGGATTGGCCCTGAGGACGCGGAGCTTGGTGTTGCGGCTCCAGATAACGTTGTTGTCGTCTTTCCGCGACCTGAGCGCCGGGATGATTTTGCCATAATCGGGGCTGGTAGATATAAATTCCACTAAATTGGTAGATATGATCTGGGTTGAAGCTTTTTCCAGGGTTTAGCAAGCGAGTCGTGCTTTTGTCGGAGCTGTCGAGGATAGGGCAAGTGAACGTGTCACATGTCAATTCAAAAAAAAAGGGTCTTTCGATCATCAGAATGTTGTGAATGATCTCCAGATGATGTGTCAAGGGCAGATAATGTGAGCAAAAGACAGGTAGACAACTTGTCTTGAAGGAGCGGAAGGAATTCAGACGGCCTAACCACATCGGGGAGTGAGAGCGCATTCACCTCCGTCATTTCTTCACAGTGCAGAAGGATCGCGTCTTTCTCCCTTTTCCTTACTTTTCCTGCATGTGGACCCTCTGCAGGCTGCAAGGGGTATTTTGGTCATGTCATTTGATAAAAACAATCGAGTTTCGCGAAACAGACAACCATCACTTCTACTACGCGCCTCGAAATTCGACCAACACGAGATACCCGCGAAGCTCCCATCACCCCCCCAAGAGAATGGTCCGCAACCACGACACGCTATTCGCCCAAGATCTCTAGCTGATGCGTATCGAGACGCATCAAAACACGCCATGTCTACCACACCCGACGAAGAATACAAATTTTTAACGTCACCAAGCCCGCGATCGAGGCGGCAGCCGACTATCACGTTATCGCCGATACCTCAAACTTCTCCTCCTCCTAAAGAAATCGAGGATGCATATCGGCGAATTGATGAAGATGATGCTCTAGCCGATCTTGTGCGCGACTATGACTGGGAGCTGCAGTACAGCGCACGCTCCGGAAGCCGAAGTCGCCTCCCGTCCTATCGAGCAAGGGACACAAACAACGGCAGTGGATCTGCCAATGAGCACACCTTCTCTGACACTGGTTTTTCGGATGAACTCGAAGATCATAGAGCTCGCAAGAGCAGGGACTATGCCAAGGATGAAGAGCGCCTAAAGCGTGTCACGGGCCAACGCTCGCCGGTCTTCAGCAGGGCTCAGGTCGGACGGGATGCCTTAACGGCAGATAACTTGAGAAGACGAATGGAAGCTCAGATTGAGGTAGATCATCCTGTGCGAGAGGCTGACAGGAATGCTGTTCCCTCGCCGAATATACCTACTGGCTGGGGTCATCGGGCAGGTCACCGACAAGAGTGGGAGAGAAAGCCTAACCAGCCAAGTGTTTCCGAAGAAGAAGTGGAAAATGTGCATCGACGCTGGTCGCCAGCTACACAAGAAATCCAATCCCCCAAGCCTATGCGTACTTCTCCTCGCTCTCTGGTGCGAAGCACACTTTCTGCTAGAAGCGCCCTCGAAGAACGCACCGCCAATCCGCACATGCAGCCAACGCAGAAGGATTTTGAGGAAGCGCAGTCTGGTCCAAAGGAGACCTCACCCACTAGTGGCGGCGAGCAAATCCCCAATTCGCCCATCATAGTGTACAAAAACTCGTCGTTCGCGAGGCCCAGCCCCAGCAAGCGTGACTCTCGGGACCTCCTACGAAAACTTTCCAGGACTGAAAATTCCAAGGTTGATCATGTCCAAACTCCCGAGCCACTCAAAATGGTTGAAAGCAAAATATACGACAAGACCCCTCGGGTAACTGGCGCGTGGATTGATACTCCTATGACCCAGCGGGTGACCGAGAAGATCGAGCTTCCCGAAGACCTGACCAAAGACAACTTATCTCAGCGCACAACGAATGAGTCCAAAGATACTGCACCTACTTCAAAACTAACGGATGTCAAATCGAAAGCCGAGGAACCAAAGCCGGCGCAGATTACCGAGAAAGAGTCTCTTCCTGAACCGCTTAATGAGAAAGAGTTAAGGCCCCCGTTGCAGCGACCTCATCTACCCAAAAGTGCTTTGGAGGCGGTCATTGAGGATGCCAGCTCTGGCAAAGACGTCGAGTTCGGAGATGATACCATCGAGTCCTTGCAGGCATTAATGGACGCTGGGCTGGGCGAAACCAGAATTGAAGAAGATGAGGTAGCATACGAAAAAGCCGTCCTCGCCGAGCTCCAAAATGCTAATTTAAAAGGAAGTGACGTGGTTGACTTGGATTCATTGAACGTTAAGCTCAACTCTCTAATGAGACATATCGACGAAGTCAAGAAAGGACTTGACGGCCTAGAAGGCCACGTTGCTCAAGACACCGCAATTGTATCGCAAACAAGCTCCTTGACCAAAAATAACTCGCGGTCATCACACTTTCACACAGGCGAATCATGCAAAGGCTGTGGCACACACTCTAATGGGCGAGTCTACGCCGCGATACCTCTTCCTCGGCTGTGGAGGCGGGGGCCGCGATCCCAACGTCTTCGGCCGACCAAGATCGGCTGGTTTATAATCATCTCACTTTCTTGGTACATCACCGAATGCCTTATGTGGGACCAATATAGCCATCCCGAGATATCCGAAAGCTGCGAAGGCTATTGCCTGCAGCCCGATGCACCTCTATACCCCTGGGTAACTGTCACAATGTTATGGCGGTGGTCACATCTGTCGACTATTTTCACGCCCATTTTCGCTATCTGTGTAGCTTTGTCTCGACTCGTGGCGCAGTTGATGGGTATTTCGGATGGCTACGTGGATGATGCGCCGGAACTTGGAAGTATGATTGGTGAAATCCGCATCAACGGAACGCCAGTTGCGCTCCCTTGGCTCTCAGCCCCCACAGCTGAAAATGTTGTGCCTCAACCACAGCAGGCTCACTACACACAGCAGCCCGTGCAACCAGTGCAACCAGTGCAGCCTGTATGGTCAGCTCGGAACCCACCCCCGCAGAGATGGGACGGTAATCAGCTCTCGGGGGAGGATGCAATGGACGGCGACGAATATCTTTAGTTCATAGGTTACAGTTTTGCTCTTCGAATTCCCACCACGTTTGCTTCCTTTGTCGCCTTTCGATCCGGACTAAGTAAAGGGCATTTCACTGGCTCTTGGAAGCTCCGTTTCCTCGCGTGAGATAGATATTATTCCTCGTCCTAGGTCTAATTGAACGTGCTTTGAGCTGCCATCTAAATTCAAAATTGGCTAGTGATTCATTACTGCGGAGACCGTTTGTGTAAGAAAGGAGTCAAGAATTCGAAGTCTTATAGATAGCCATATAAAAAGCCAAGGTAGTTTACATGTAGTTTGAGGGCTGTCGCCTATCTATTACAAGAACAGTTGGTAATCAGGGTTATGAAATTGACAATCAGGATGTTGTTCTGCGAAATGAGAGAAACAGGATTTATCAACTCACAATCGCGCTGTCGCTCGCCATTGCTTCTGCAATTCGATCTCTCCCTCCAGCTTCCAAGCAGACATTCTATGCATGAGGGCCACGACCTGCTCATCACTGACTTCACAGGCCTTTTCAATAGGTATCTCCTTTGTCGATTGCAACTTGAAGCCCAACCAGGTGAGATTGCCCGTCGACACGACCCGGCCGGCAACAGCATCACGACAGAACCTAGCAAAGCTCTCGAAGAAACGATGGCTAGAGGGCCTGTTCATCATAAGTATACCGTGGCAGTGCGGCATACCCTCGAACATTTCGGCGACAAGAGGCACACCGGCCTGGTGGACACGGCGGGCTAGAACAAGACCCTCGTCCGTGAGACCTTCCTCGCCAGTCGAAATCCAGATAGGCGGTGCATTTTTCCAGAGCTCAGCTGGGGCAGCAAGCGGAGACACCAATGGGTGGCTCAGCATGCTGGCGTTGCAGTAGATCTCAGCGCGAGGCGGGGACGTGGGCCAGACATCGTCTGGGGTGAAAGGGAGCGGGGTAAATAGAGTCTTGACAGCTGGGTCATTCGAGGGTACAGTGGGTGCCTCGAGGTAATCGAGATGTGCGTTACCACTGGTAGAAGGCATGGAGCGCGTCACGTCGCACCATGGGGATACAGTTGCGACGCCTGCCGGCAGTTCAATGGGCACATCCTCGCCGTGGAAACGGATTGTGTGGGATGCGCGGTCGAGAGCCAGAAGCGTTTGAAGGAGGACGAGACAGAGGTTCCCACCGGCGGAATCGCCAGCAAATATTATCTTGTTGGCTGGAACAGGTTTGTGTAGGGAGCCTGGAGGGGGGTGGAGAAGTGACAAATACGCTGTTAGGGCGTCGACAATTGCGGCTGGGAATGGATTTTGAGGAGCGAGACGATATCGGACAGAGAAGACGGGGGCGCCGGTTAGGTGGGATAGGTGTGCAACGGGAATTCGGTGGCTGCAAGGATCCAGAAGGCTTTTGTTGATTTGAATGCTTTAGCTATGTGGATGGTTGTTAGGTAGAGGGACGAGTGACACTCACAAATAGGCCCCTCCATGGAAATACAAGATCGTCATATCAGACGGCGATTCCTCGCGCAGCTTGTTGTACTTTTCTTCTTCTGAGAGGTCGGGCTCTGGGGTTTTCTTTCCGACTCCGGCGCGGTAACCGGTCCATTCGGCTTCGACGGCGGCCGGTGCAGGGATATCGTATGTCTCATCGCCGGTCTTGAGATCTTCAATTGCACGTAGCACTGCATCACGTACATCGATATCGGGCTGCGGGAGTGTCACCTTGGACACCCACATGGGGCCCTTGACACCGGGGTCGCGTAGGCCTTGTTTCTGGGTTTTACCGAGTGGAGCTTTCGTTCCCATGAATGAACGAATAATGGAAACGGTAAATTCGGTGCGCATGTCCTGTTTCCCTTTGACGGGGGACATTTGAATTGCATGTAGGATGATGGTCTTGAGGATTAGCGGGATGCGGACCAGCAGCTCCTTCAAGAGATGGAAAGGTTCTCTAAGCGAGCTCATGGTGCGAAGGGAGCAGGCTTGAGCGCTGGCTCCTGCTAATATATGAACAGAGAGGTGGAAAGAAGAGGGTCTAATGACCCCGTCTCCTAAATCTTAACCTTGGAACGTGCTAACCCGGATTTTGTGCCTGAGTGGCGTCAGTGCCGAGGTCCGGACGTGGAGCATCTTACCCCACAGGCCCTAATTTCCGAGATGTCTCACATCAATCAGATTGGTTAGTGGTACCGTTGCCTAGATAGCATGAGGGCTGTCCTGTAGGAGAGTTCATCTAGCTTATCAGTAGACTGTTGTCAAGATAATTTAGATCTTCAAAGGCTACCTGGGTAGACTAGCCTCGAATCACTCTGACATTGCAGCATTGCCTGCGAACAAGCTTATGACAATCACAATCCTCGACATCGAAAGATGATGGGCACACAATCCCGTCTGTCATATGTGGCGAGTGTAGAAAAAGCTTAAAACCGGTGGCCGTTTGTAGCATGATACGAAAGTTGAGCCACAGGGTATATTTAATAACAAGAAAAGGAATGTAGCCCTCCAGGCCATTTTCAAATGATTGTCACACAATGTACATTGAGTGATCTACAGTGATATTCCCCCAAAATACCATCATTAACGTTGATATAAGGCCCCGGAGCCAACTTTGAAAGTCCAATCAGCTCAATCCGGTGCGATGATAAGATGACTAAGCTTAGGCCTCAGGCCAGTTTCTTCATCTTCAATTCTAGACCTACCCTGGTTTGTTTCAGGCTCTTTCGTTTTTGATGTCTTCACTTTGCACGCCTAAAGGCGACACTGATCTGTCTATTCACTGTTTATTTTACTGAGCATAAGCTATCCTGTGGATGCTTGTATCTTGCGTGTCCGTTTTCTCCATCGTCTCATCCTCATCAACCCCTCACCACTCAATTTGACCCATCGCTCTGGGACATGTTCATGGTATCAAATTGGGCGGATACAACTCAATAACTTGAGATATGGAGGAGGGTACTATTTTCGGCGACGATTTGCCTCTCCCACCGGCCCGACTTTTCGAACGATTAGGCCAGTTACCTGGCTATACCTGGGACCAGGCGATCGAACCGTTTCACTCGACGTACAATCACTGGCACATCTCAGGATACCGCCATGCCTTGGAACCGGATGTTTTAACCCCTCTTGCAGATTCCTCCAATCCTGCTTCCTCCGGACCATCGAGTCTCACGCGCTTCTCCCCGCGTACGGAAATCCGGCCATCCGCCCGTGCCTTACGAAGATTGAGCGCAAGTGAAACCAGTAGTGAGATTTCACTTTCCAACCAAAACAGCCTAGAAACGGACCAAACATGGATCCCGGTAATCGCGCGAATCTCCACCAACATCATTCGGCTTGAACGAGAGTTTCACATGCTTAGGTCAATTGTACAATCATCAGATCCGGACTGCAATCATACCATACGACCAGTCGACTTGATCAGGTTACAACCAGATGACGGCAATTCGAAGACGCTGCTGGTTGCAATTTTTGAGTCTCCAGGCCACGACAGGCTGCGGGATCTAGTCACATTTGGCCCTGCCTCATTTGCGGCAGGGTCTAGAGGCGAAGACAACAATGCCACCCCCAGCGAGCAGGTCCCCTTGCAGGCCTTTTTTGATTTCGCGATCGGGGCGTGCGATTGCCTGGAAATTCTGCATTATGGCCTGAAGACAGTGCACGGCGAAATCAGAGGTGATGCGTTCCATTTTAGTGCGGAGACCGGTGCAGTGAAGCTCGCGAACACAGGAAACGGTGCTAGATCGTTTGATAACGTTCTCAGCGAGGGGTGGTCCTCCGTTTCGCGGGAGCTTGGAGCCAAGTACAAGCTGCAATTTATTGCTCCAGAGCAGACTGGAAGGATGCCTACAGAGCCGGATAGTCGTACTGACATTTATGCGCTGGGGCTCTTTTTTTGGTCCATGCTGGTGGGAAAGCTACCATTTGAAGGAACCGACCCCGTTGATGTGGTGCAAAATGTACTAGGCAAGAGATTGGTGCCAGTATCTGGGAAACGAATGGATATCCCTGATGCTATCTCGGCTGTGATCCAAAAGATGACCCAAAAGGTGGTTCATGATCGCTACCACACAATTTCATCTGTGAAGAGAGACTTGACTTATGTTGCGAAATTGCTTGGTGATGGTGACAGTGAAGCATTAAGCAATTTCCAAGTCGCGCAAGGTGACGTGTCTTCTTTCTTCACTCTCCCAACGCAGATGTTCGGGCGACAACAAGAATATGACAAGATCCTTCACATCATCGAAAAGGTCAACAAGCGCCAGGCGGCTGCCTTGGCCAAAGCCGGAACCCAAAGTCCGGGTACAATGCACGCTCTAACATCGGCTTCGTCTATATCCGAAAGCCGCATCGAGAGCCTCGAGTTTGCTTCTGTCTCTAGTGATTCTGGCTCTTTCCATCTGCCTCCTCGATCGTCTTCCAATGTCGCCAGTCATCATCTCGCACGAGTCAACACCCATGAATCAGCGCCGGGCAGTGATACGTCGTTTTCCACACCGAAGCATGCAATTTTTCCTGATGCATATGGCCAGAGCCCAGGAGCAGCTTCCAGCAGAGTCAAGAGCCCATCTCATTCTCGGTCTTCCTATAATACAGACCGCGAAAGTCACCCCTCCATCGGCCCTCCCAGTCAACCATCAACAAATCACACTATCAGTCAATCAGGATCACTCCATTCATTGAGTAAACCGAAGAACAGTGGAAAGTCTCGCCGCAGCGAACGCTGTGAAGTGATCACAATCAGCGGTCCCGCTGGGATTGGAAAAACCGACCTCTTAAATCGCATACAGCCGACAGTTCGAAAACTCGGATGCATAGCAATCACTCGCCTGGACCGAGCCAAACGTGTCCCATTTGAACCTTTTGCAAAACTACTGGCCAGTCTTTTGCGCCAGATTTTTTCCGAACGCGATGTCACCACAGATTACCACAATAGTGTTAGGATAGCCCTACGACCCATGTGGCCTACTCTACATAGAGTTTTGGATCTTCCCGAGCGGCTGATGTCCCCTGGTGCGAAATACAGACCGACTGAAGCAAAGGCCAATCTTCTCATGCCAGATAAGGGTGAGCCATCGAAACACGTCAAGATCCCCGGGCTAGATCAAGGGCAGACCTCCCAAGATTTCTTTTTGGCAAATGCTGCCTCGAAGAACATGCGGCTCATGGAAACATTCCTCGAGATACTGCGGACGTTGTGTCATTTCAAACTGATCACTATATGTCTTGATGATCTCGAACATGCAGATGACGAAACTTTGGACTTGGTATTGAAAATCATCAAAGCAAAGCTCCCCTGTGTCCTCATACTTTCAAGCCGCAAGGACGAGATTCCATCTGAACAGGTAAGGTCTCTATTTGTGGAAAATATACCAACGATCACGCGAATCGCACTTGAGCCCCTCAAAGAGCAGCATGTCATGGAACTTGTAGCGACGACAATGCACCAGAAACCCGATCGAACATTAACACCACTCTGTGCTGTTGTTCAGGAGAAGAGCCGAGGAAACCCCTTCTACGTCCGAGTAATGCTTGAGTCTTGTTATAGAACAAACTGCATTTGGTATTCATGGAAGGACTCAAAGTGGCTATTTGACCTTGATCGGATATTTATGGAATTCGTGGCCCCTGTCTACGGCGAAGGGCTTGGACTTGGATTTCTTACCAAGCGTCTCCAGGACATCCCCCAAGCCGCTCGATCAATCATGGTCTGGGGTTCTCTTCTGGGCAGCCCCTTCTCCTTTTCTCTGGTGCAGAAGCTCTTGACAAGTGAATTCCTCAATTCGAGCGATGCCGACGACGATGTTGATCTCACATCACCGCCAAATCTCACACTCATCAGACAATCAGAGGGTGATCTAGTTGTTGGGTTGCAGTTTTTGGTTCAAGCAAATCTCTTGAACACGGGAAAGACTGACGATGAGTTCAGGTAAGGCATCTACATTTAGTTACTGGGGCATCTAAACTTCTTACTAATTTCCACAGGTTCGCCAATGAACGACTTGCGCAGGCTGCTCTTTCTCTGAACGAAGATCGAAATGTAGAGAAGATGCACTTCATCGTTTCACAAGCACTGATGAAATATTACCATGACCATCGCAGTCGGTATTCAATGGCTCATCATGTGGCACTTGCCTCACGGACTATCAAGTCCTGTGTCAGCCGACGCCTCGAATATCGACGAATCTTATGGGATGCTGGGCAAACCGCTTTTCAGTCGGGCGCGCGGCCCTCCGCCCTCTGGTACTTTCGTCATTGCATCGCTTTACTTCAGGATGACATGTGGAATGACCTCCAACCGGACGTTTATTACGATGAAACCATGCGTCTATTTATCACCACATCCGAGATGTCGTGGTCTCAAGGCCACTATCAGGATGCCCTCCGGTTGATCAACGAAGTATTCGTTCATGGAAAGGACGCCGTAAGCAAGTCGAGAGCCTGGATCATCAAAGCCAAAATCTTTGCCCAGATAGGCGATCATCACCGGTCGATGGAATCACTACTCACCTGCCTCGATGAACTTGGCGTGCATCTTCGTCAGCCTACAACCTATGAGGAGTGCGACGCTGCCTATCATCGGCTCAAATCCTATCTCGAAACTGCCGATCTGAGCTCTATTGGCCGAAAGCCAGTCTCCAATGACCCTACTATAGTGACTATCGGCGCAGTCATGGCGGAGGCGATGACGGTCACGTACTGGGACGATGCGTTGACCTTTTATCGAATGGCGCTTGAAGTGATGAACATTTATATTTTCAAGGGTGGATTCGCACAGATCGCCATAGGTTGCTCCCATCTTGCTATGATCTCCCTGGGTCGCTTCAAAGACATCGAGTTCGGCAAAAGACTTGGCGACCTTTCGCTGGAACTGCTTGAGCTCTGCCCCGAACTGTCGACTCAGAGCAGAGGCTCTATCGTTCATAATCTCTACGTCAGCCACTTGCGTGTACCTATGGCATCAATAC